AACAAACCAACAAACACACAAAACAAACAAACCAAACCAATCCAATCCACACCAAACCAACAAACAAACAAAATGAACGTTTCAAAGTCAAAGTCAACGAACAGCATGAAAGGGAACATTGCAAAGGAACCTTATATACACAAAATGGTGGAACAATGAACATCAGAAGACACCACGCGTATTTGAAGATTCTTAATAGCATGATGCGCCTTGATGACTTGGGCTGCCACCTTTCCACCCAGCCTGTTGCAAATTGCTGTGACATTTAAGAACCAAGCAGCAAAAGCAACAAAGCAACATTTAAACCATTCATTGAAAGGTCGCGCGTCAAGGGAAAATCAGTGAAAAGTGAAATGTCTGAGGTCGCCTCTGCATTCCTTCATCGGAGTGCCACTCCGGCTCTTCTTCAATGAGGACCCCCTGCTCGGGCTTCACGAACTCCGTGGGGCCTCCGCTGTTGGCTCCAATGGTGGGGCATCCACAGGCCATGCACTCGATGAAGACCATGCCGAAGGGCTCCTTGTAGGACGGGAACATGCCCACCTCTGACATGGAGAAGAGCTCCGCCAGCACGTCTTGACCTCACAGACTTTTTGCAAGTAAGTATTCCATATTTGGGAAGAGGCTGCAAAAGTAGGACACACCTAATAAAACTCACTCATCCGAGGATAGTTATCACATCATCCAACCTAGTGATCCACAGAACGATGTGTTCGCCAAGAAACCCTTTGGCCCCAGGAAAACGGTTCGCTCGAGTCCCAATGTCTTCGCCATTGTGTGGTACTTCTCCACTGCATCAGGTGGCCCAGTACCAACGATCGCCGTACCCACATCTGGAAACTTGGCCTCGACATGTCGTTGTTGGGCACGGACTGACGCATTTCCAAAAGGGTCAAGGAGAAAAACAACTCCACAGAGCTTTTCTTCGCATGACTTATATTGATTGTGATCATTAGCAGATGTTTGAATGGGTTCCCTGACGTCCTTCCGCACGTGTCCGCACTCTTGTCCCAGGTGTCCCTTGACGTCAAGTTGCCTCATACTCCTTGGCAGCGTAGAGCACCGCATCCAGGCGCTTCCAATCGGCGAACTTCCCGACGAAGGTCACGAGGCGCTTCATGCTGGCCACCTTCGGCTGATCCTGTGACCGCTGTTGTGAAGGTGTTTTCCCTCTCCATGTGCCAAAACCAAACAACGTGACCGAACTGGGAAGAATTAGACGTGATGTCTGGACTCGTCTTGTTGGGCCCGTCTTGATGCTCTTGTGTCAAAGCTCTTTCTTCAAGATTCCAAAAGAATCGAAACAACGAGAAAACAGCTACAGTTGTCAATCTCAAAAGGAAAAGACCCAATGATCTTGCCCCCTCTTTCTGTGTCCTCCTCCGCCGGGTGTTTGGAAAGATCGCCAGCCACCGGTGTACCCTTCGGGCAAAAGGTACTTCCCAATGTAGTCCTCGGAACTCACCCACACACCTGAGGTTTTGCTGAGTCCAAAAAACCCGCTTCCTTGGCATAAAAGAACCAACGCCATGATTGCTTCTGCTTAAACCAAACACCTTTGGCTCTGACGTGAAACCTTCCCTTCTTTATGCTGTTCCATTCAGCACAATCCTCAAGTTAAGTTTCCCTAAGAAACCCAGAAACCCAATGAATAGTGCGAGCGTGAGCTATCCAGGGGTCCAGTTCCGAGTAAACGGGTACTAGTAATTAGGTAACTAGCCCCTACTTAATTCAGTAACGTCTACTTAGTCAAGTAAGAGCGGGCTAAAAAGAAAGAAATAAAGCAATAACAAAAACAACCAATTCCACTTTCCTCGGTCTCAGCCAAGATGCCATGGACCTGCAATTGCCATGCCATGAACATGAAATTCACCTTGCTCCATCTCACCGACGTCGTTGAGATGGGTGGAGGGCATGTGAGGATCGTGTGGCTTTCTTGGGCTCACTAGATATTCCCCGGCCAACCTGCTTGCCCCACTGGGTGGAACCTTTTGACACCTACCATCTACCTAGCTACTTCTCTGAAGAGGAAACCATTTTGCGACTGGCTCAATCTGAAAGGCAGCCATGCGCTCTGTCACCATGAAGTGTGTTTGGAAGTTTGGACAATCTTTGCCTCATAGGATGTAAGATCCTGTTCCTCAACTCAAGCTCCTCTTGAATCCTATTTCTTTCCCTATGTGTGTATCACGATGCACATGAGTTGCCAGCCAAGCGATTTTTCAATTGTCCCACGAAATCCCCAATAAACCTCACAAGGTTTGTTCAGCAGCTTTCTCATATTTATCAAGAAGGCAGGGACTTCTTGGATTCTTCTCGTGAGATGTTCTCATTAGGGCCCCGGGCCTTTTTCAAGCAAAAAGAGATGTCCTAGTTTAACTTGCAGGAAAAAACACTAGTGAGAGATGATTTGGGATCGCTTCTAGATGCTTCTAGCCAGTGACACTTGTCAAGCAATCTGTGCGACAATCTCTGTGACGACACAAAAAGATCGGTTCGCAAGTCCCATGTTGGTTTCCCGTTTCCGCTGGGCCCTTACTCTCTTGCACCAGGATGCCACGAGGAGTAGGCAAACTGTAAACTCAAACCTAGTGGAATGACGTGTGCATGAAAAGATTGTGGGAAAGACCACAGAAAAGACGAATCCACTAGGAGAATTTTGTTTCATTTTGTACCTTTCTGCCTGTCCAACAACTTTCTGACCATATTTCCTCCCAAAGCTGGTGAGGTCTGTGCCAGTTTATCCATTGCAGCTATGATGCGAAGGCCCCATGAAGAGGTCCCGGGTGTGTTGAATCCACTGGGGATCCTTCCAGGGATCCTTTGGCTCCGTCGTCTCAACCTGAAGAACCAGAGACGTCTCGGATTACCGATGCGTTCCTACTAGCCTTCTTGTTACTAGTAGCGATGCCAGGAGCCCCTAGTAGCGTCCGATCGCTCCTAGTAGTAAGGCCAGGAGCCCCTAGTAGCGAACCTTGTTCTTAGTAGAGAGACGTCTCGGAGTTGCGAGGAGAGACGTCTCGACGTCGTCTCCAGTATTCTCTTTTCGCCAACTGCAATGGGTGGTGTGTCGGTCGGTGAGGGTCAGTGAGGGGACGCATGACAATTCTGCACTTTGCAAGAACGTTTTAGTAGCTACGCCATCCACAGGAACCCGCTTTGAAAGCATCACTTTCACGGAATTCTGTGTTCGTCTTCTCGACTGGCAACAAAGCAACTTCCTTCGGGTTGTTCGGTCCCATCTGGTTGAACTTCATGTGTCGGGGGTTCCACTGCTGTGTTCTTACACAATGTGCGGCAAGACAAACAGTTGCACAACCGGCAAAACTTGAAGAGAAGGAGTTGCCGGCACCGCAAAAGGATGCAATAGGCTCTAGTGTTCGGACACTAGAGGAAGCATGTTTGCAATATTGCACCTACAATAATGCACATTTTTTCACTTCCCTACAGTAGCTGTCTCTGCTTGCTGGAGAATCGTCTTTGGCTGCTTGCATACTTCACCTGTAAACCCCCGTCGATTGCCACTCCTCATCCAGCTGCTTGTCGGACGCGCTGGGCCCTAAGTGAAACAGAATGCCCTGCTGGGCGTAACATGCTATTTGTCAAAGAAAGTCTCAAAAGGTGTGTATGTGTCTGTGTTCGCCTCTTTCTTGATAGACTTGATAGAGGCCCTGCTGTCCAAATCATATCTTGTCTGCGGTGCGTTACTAGTAGCGATGCCCTCGTTACTAGTAGCGATTTAAGTCATCACCCCGTTGGACACAGGGTATCTCATCCCCCAAACCCAGGGACAAGCTGTGAGAAGCTCAGAACAAGCTCAGAAGGCATGTCGTTTTGTTAGATAAGCCCCGAAGTCCGTTCTGTTGGGTAGCAAAGTCGACCTTACAGAATAGACTTCGGGTGCGAAACCACCAGTGGTAGGCTGCTGAGTGCTGAGTCTTTTTCATGATTGTAGTGACCCAAGAAGAAGGAAGAAGGATGGACATAGCCGATGGTAGATAGTCGGTGACTTGTCTAGGGTCCTTTGACGGCACGACCCAGATCAAAGAAAGCGGAGACCCAACCATTCCAGGCTTTCCACAGTCACATGAGTCAAAACAACTAAAGAAGACATCGCATGGTCGGCTCTCAAAAGGATACTAGAAGCACTCCGCAAATGCAGAGCTGTGCCCTCCCGAAACTGATCTTACGACTATAAAACTGGCAGAACCAAACGAAAAACGCTCACTCAGGCGCCCAAAGATGCTGTCAGCAAAGCAGAGATCGAGGACTTGTTCCTGGCATGCGCTGGTCATCGAAAATGGCTGGTCACTCAAAATGAGAAAAA